CAAATTTGCAAACACGGACAGTGTTCTTGCATGCGAGGATCCTGCATGAAAGCCGTCAACTTCATCGCCACGAAAGTAGAATTCGATACATGCGTGTAACCAATTTGTGTACTGCAGAGATTTTGCAGCGAAATCCTACTTGCGCTGGTCCAAATCAGTGAGATGTAAGACGAAGCAGTAAAATGGCAGTATTTCCAATGAAAACTAGAGTGAAAACTCACTGATTACATTGTTCGACAAATTTTTGTGACACGAGTACGAATAGTTATTTCCGATGTATTTTTGTCTGCTGAACACGAATCCGTCGTCCAAATTTGGCTATCGTGTCACAATTTTGAGAAAAATAGTGTCAAAGAGGCCAAAATGCCGAATGTGGGAATCTTCTTATCTTGCATCTTACTCCATTTTTCTCAAAATTGTGATGCGGTAGCCAAATTTGGACGACGGATTCGTGTTCAGCAAGCAAAAATACATCGGAAATGACTATTCATCTTCTTGCAAAAAAAATTGTTCTGCCTAGTGATATTGATGCCGACGATTGGCCACATGTTGAAAACAAAAAATCGTTGGGAAACGAGACGAGATGCATTTTCAAGCTAAAAGTTAATATTTTTGCATAGCATTAACGAAATGTAAAAAACAAATTTACTGTTTGCGTTACAGCGCCACGAAAACCCTCAAAATCGTCATTTTTAGCCTCTTTGACGTCATTTTTCTCAAAATTGTAATGTGATAGCCAAATTTGGACGACGAATTCGTGTTCAGCAGGCAAAAATACATTGGAAATGACTATTCATCTTCTTGCAAAAAAATTGTTCTGCCCAGTGATATTAATGTCGACGATTGACCATATGTTGAAAACAAAAAATCGTTTGGAAACGAGACGAGATGCGTTTTCAAGCTAAAAGTTAATATTTTTGCATGGCGTTAACGAAATGTAAAAAACAAATTTACTGTTTGCGTTACAACGCCACGAAAACCCTCAAAATCGTCATTTTTAGCCTCTTTGACGTCATTTTTCTCAAAATTGTAATGTGATAGCCAAATTTGGACGACGAATTCGTGTTCAGCAGACAAAAATACATTGGAAATGACTATTCGCACTCGTGTCACAAAAAGAAGTTCGATTTTTATCGAAAAGTGTTATTAATATATGAGATACTCCTTCTAACTAATACGCTTTAAAAGAGCAGGAACCGATAGAGAAGATATCCGGAAAAAAGATTGAACGTTCAGTTACGTTCCTTGTGTTATTAATTGCTCTACAACACATCTAAAGTCCACCAAGATCAGTGAGCGACACTTGTACATGTTTCTCTGTCAGGTCTTTCGTATCCGTAAGCTCCTTTCGAAATAAACTCTCGGCACAGTGAGGCAGGAGCAATGACAATTGAAGGATAACAAGCGCGTTGATCTCGTTTTTCTCGAATGGATTCGAAAGTATCAAACACGCTGCAATATCTACATGACGCGGGATATACTTTGGTATTTTCCACAACCGAAGATTTCCTGTTTATCGTTAAGGTGTGCGTATCATAAAATTGTTAGATTCAATCTCGTTAAATTACACCCACCTCATTTCCTCTTCTTATAGTTCATTATATTTGTCCGCTATTTTTACCGGTCACTCGCGCGAAATATCTTTAAAATTCGCTCGAAAGGATCGCATGCCCGGTAAAGATGAGTTTCGTGTTTATGTTGTTCAAACGGCATAATTCGAGCACACAGGTCGAGACTTTCGCGGAAAAAAAGAAAACAAAAAAAAAAAGAAAGAACTAAATGAACGTTGTGCAAGTGAAACTTCACGGGAAGAATTCCTCACGGTGAAGACCGGTTACGTACATGGCGTTGAGCGATTTCAATGAGCGAACGACAACACACGGTAGAAGGAGAAGAAGAAGTCGAGAAATACGCGGTCTTGAAAATGCACCGCGGCGTCGAATAATGCCTGCATTCGGCCGCGTCTCCGCGCTACAATTTTCGCATCAATTATTCGCGATTGATCACACAGCTTTACCGCGTCGTTATTCTCAGAAGCGGCACGCTAATTCGGAGGTTCTCGCCTCGCGTCAACGGCATCACCCCCAGAAATTGCTCGCTCCGTGTCGCGCGCTCGCTTCCTCGCGAGCGGCAGAAATAGCCAGGTAAGAGCATTCCGAGTGCTTCTCGCGGAGGGAAAGAGACCGTTGACCCGCCACGTGGAGTAGCACGTGCATTCGCGAGAGATTTCACGCGAGGGAACGATCGTTAATAACTATTGCCTGGTTCTGGCCGTGCGCCGGGAGCAAGGAACTGCTAATGCGACCGACGGTCGTTAGAAATCTCTCACGTTCCTTGCGCCGCGGCACTCGCCTGGCCTAATCGCTCGTTAGACAAGTCACGTGCCGCAACGCCACGCTGAATTCGCCCCGCACAATGACTCCGGTTAGCCGGCGATAGTCCGACCCGATGACGTTCCGCGCAGTTCCCGTGGCCGATACGTTCGTTTGCACCTGCGCCGCGAACGTCTCGATCTTTGCTCTTTCGACTTTCGTGAGAGATTATACTGGTTCGCCCGTTTCTCTCTCTCTTTTTCTTTCTCAGCATTTGGAGAACGAACTGCCCCGCAACTGGTCCGCACTCTCGCGTGTTATACGAAGATAAAGAATTAAAAAGAATCCTTCTCTCTTTGTGTCTTAATAACCGTTAGATCGTCGGCCGTTCTGAAATTTTATCACCACCGAAAATTGGCGATTCGATCCGTCGGAGGATGTAGCTTGGTGTTCACGGGAGGTGCCTTGCAAAATAATTTCTTAGCAGAACGAACTCGGTACAGGTGGAAAGAAGAGAGAAGGGGAAAGAAAGAAAGAGAGAGAAAAACAGGGAAAGACAGAGAGAGAGAGAGAGAGAGAGAGAGAGAGAGAGAGAGAGGATCGAGCAGCAAGCGTGCAGTATAATCGCGACAAGAGCGAGTGAGAGACAGAGGAAAGTAGAAAAAACGAGAAACACGAACTTTTTATCGTTAGACACTCATAAAACGCGATATCCCCGTAGCGAACGTGAAAGAGTCATTCTTGTTCGCTTGCGGTTCCAAGAAGTCCGGTTAGAATTTAGGCTACGAGGAGCTCCTACCCGAATCTGGAACGCCTCGGTCGTTGGCCTGGTCTTCGATTCCCTGCCTTGGAGATTTTCGGGTGCGACTCTGTGTATGCGTGATTGTATGTCTGCATGTTAAAACGAAGCTTTTATCTAACGAACGTCTAGACCGGTTCGAGCCGATCGTATCGACCCTCGCAAATCGCGCGACGCCGTGCGTGTACATTTTTGTCCCATGACGGACCCATGGACAACACGCGGAAGGGAAAGAAGCGGTCTTTAAACGGCGACTACCTCGAGCTATGTGTGCATGAAAGATACCATTGCGAATTTCTTATTACTTTTATACAAGTTCCCAGCAATGTCATTTTTTGTTCGCTTGTTAGATCAAGCTGAATAAAATCGACCTCACGTGACTTGCGTCGAAGGATAACAAAGTTTCAATTTTCAGGTTACTCCGCGTGATAGCAGAATTATAACGAAATTTCAAGGCTGGATGATAAGTTGTAGAAGACGACATACACTGTAATCCATACAGATACAAAGATGTATCAGTGTTGCACAATTAATAAATATAATGAAGAATATACCTGTATAATGTATTAATCCTCTATTGCCCAAATTAATTGTTTACAAAATTTTTCATATACATAAAATGTTTAAAACTAAAGTAACTCAACATAGGGTAAAATTTTATTTTTCTAATTTTTCCAAAATAAGTTTGTGATTCTAAGGTCACGTTGGGCAGTTACTATCGCTGCCAACACACTGAAAAAAGGCAGTCACTTTTATGTCACATCGATCAAGACAGAAAGGACATCCATATCGGAGATAAATAATAATGAAACTGGGTTGTGACTTTTCAGAGTCGCAGTAAGCAGTAGAGGATTAAACATAGAATTCGATAATTCCTACCCGATCCTACAGTAACTCGTGCGAATATTCACCCTGCTTTAATGGAAAAGAGCCATCGATTTTAAGGAATTTATTTAGCCTATCGTTCATCGACGATTAACGCGGTGAGCGTGCGAGCGTGCGAGCGAGCGAGCGCGAAGTCGCTACCGTTAATTTCGCGCGGTTATAATTGCACGCCTTTTTTTCTCGCCTCGAACGGGCCGGGTGAAGACCGAGGTGGAGGAGATGGACCCCGGACGTGCGGCGGAGACGGAGAGATCGGGAGGGAAAGGCACGAAACGATTCGAAGATAATATACCGATGTACTGAATTACGCGGCCGGCTACCGAATCATTTTGACCCACATCCGTGAATCGCCGTCGCCTCGAGGCGTCGGAATGCCGGAGATCCGATCAGGCGCCTTCTTCTTGGCGCTCCTTTGTCGGATCCACCGTGCTACTGCTCATTTTCGGAACGGCGATGAATAATGCGCCGCGATAAAGAGGAGAAAAACTATGCCGTGTGTCTTTGATAATTAATTAAGCCCTCTATATGCTCGTTCTCTCTGCATCTCTATTGGGTCTTGGATTTTCTCCACCTAAGGATTCTCATGCGTTGCTATGCGTTACTGAGACGTGAGTGATGAGCAGGAGATAGTAAGCATAACGTTCATCAAAAATTTATAAGACGAATAAATTATTAATTTAGGTTTTGTGTGTGTGTGTATTTTAGATACACGGAGAGAAAAAAAGTTTGATTGAACTGACTCGATAATGAACGAATCAAAAATGTTTTGGTTGTTAAAGAAACCAGAATTGTAGACTTTTGTGAGCAAAATTCGATTTCAAGAACCAGAAATTCTGTTCCTTTCAACTAAAACGCATTTAATTCGTTCATTATCAGATTAATTCAACAAAACTTTTCTCCGTATACATATATACAATCTTGTAGATCTTTATATATATATATATATATATATATATATATATATACATGTGTGTGTATGTGTATAAAATAAAATATCCTGTTTAATAAATATGCCTCTAATAACGGTGAGAAAATGTATTTCTACAAAAATATTCTACAATTTTATGACACACATCAAGTCTGATAGCGAAACTTAATTTGTATTTTTCTCGTGCATGCACGTACTTCCCATTATGTAAATACATCTAGTCTAGACGTACCAGTCACAATCACACGCGATAATAATTCTATCGCAGTTTGTCATGAGGCCCATTTTCTGACACTATTGGGTCACGACGGCCGGTGAGAAGATAAGCCGCGCGATCTGTATTCAGGTTGCGTTCGCGATTATAGTTGGTGTTCCCGGCCTAAATACTTTTCAAAAAGGCCGTCGTTGTTAAGATATATGATGGTGATGATCGATGCCGCTAATTAATTTATGGAGTCTGCAGGGCGACATTAATTTTGCCGCCACAGAGATTATCATTCAAAGAAGATCGATGCAGGACGTCGCACGCCTCGCCAAAAGCCAAACGCTTGGTATATCGCGAAAATTTCCCGAGATAAACATCGTATTTGCATATCCGGTGTCCAAAAGTTCTGCTAGTGAATGTACTACCGCGAATAAGGGTTACGTATATATAAAGAAAGGAACGCGACACCTAGCCATGTCAGACTAAGTAGTGCTCGAGTTCAGAACAAAGAAACAATGGCTGCAACGCGGATAATTTTACTGCTCATAGCAATTGGCGCCAGTTCAGGATTGCCAGCTAAAAGTCATCGTAGGTCCCACAGTCACTCTGTGCCGCCTGATCCGCGCTTTGATGGGGTTTTCGAAGATGGCCACAATCATCAGGAAATCGGTAACCGAGATCTTAACTACACTTTGCCCGCAACTACCAACAACTTCAAATGAAAATGAACTTTATGCGGGAATGCTGTTATCTTCATCTCCACAGCCGATCGCATAAATTCCTGGAGTTTGAACGATGCGGAGAATGTTTGGGAGCTGAGTGGCTTGCACGAGGGTGACATAATGATCCATCCAAACAGTCAGTCGTGGAAAAATGGCCTCCTAGATGCTACTGCGCGATGGCCTGGCGGTATCGTGCCGTATTTCATAGAGGAAAATGATTTCGGTAATCTTTCACGCAATCACAAGCACAACATTATTGAAATCGATAATTGGCAGCACGATTTAGCAGTACCACCTAGCTTACTTACTTTCCACTTTGGATATTTGGGTCCGTATTCTGAGTTCTCTTTTAACGATAAATGGGGCTCTAAAAGTGACTCATAGCCAATCAGAAAGCTTATAAGTCTAAGGCCTTGGGGTTTCGTCTAATTATTAATACACAGACAAGGACCAAGTCAAGCTGATCGAGGAAGCCATGCAGGAATATCACGAGAGAACCTGTTTGCGTTTTCGCCCTTACAAGGACACCGACGAGGACTACGTGAAGATACAAGCGAAAAGTTCGGGATGTTGGTCCCTCGTGGGTCGTCACAATCATGGACAGGTGTTGAATTTACAAAATCCGGGATGCGTTCATCACGGTGTAGTCGTTCACGAGATCATGCACGCCTTAGGCTTTTACCATCAACAGAGCGCCGCGGACCGAGACGAGTGGGTCACCATACATTGGGAGAACATCAAATTCGGTAAGAATACCGGAATAATATCAGTATTGTCATTGTTCAATATATTCGTTTAGACAGTATTAGGCACTGATCGATTAAAATTTCTTTTGGCTAGAATAATCGGCAAATCAATAGTCAAAATCGTCATAGATAAAATGACAAATAATTTCATCAATTGATGAAATTAATTATTAATCAAAAGCTTTGATATAACTGATTATACATCAATTAATAATTAAATCTTCATCACTCGATAAAATTATTATTATTATTACATATATAACGATTAAAAAAAAAAAATATATATATATATATATAACAATTGATTAATTTTAATTATTAATTTGTCGATTATTTTAGTCAAAGAAAACTTTCATCGATTAACACCTAACAATTAGATAGCAATTAAATAGTATTTTTCATTCTAAGTTAGTAATTAGATCAACCTATTTTGCGCAATTTGCAATTATGTATTATACAAAATACCTTATATGTCACATTTCACAGTCGAATCTTATATTAAACTTTCACAGGTAGGGAGCATAACTTCAATAAGTACGATAATCGCACTGTGACCGACTATGGCATCAGTTACGATTACAAAAGCATCATGCATTATAGTTCTCATGCGTTCTCCAGAAATGGAGAACCCACTATTACACCCAAGGTAATAATTGTACGGCATCTGCGACATTTTTATCAATTTCAGTTCGCCTTAAATTTGCCAATTTATGCTATTTCGCAGAAAGAGAAGATAAAACTTGGTCAGCGAGATGGGCTCAGTGAAAAGGACGTAGCCAAAGTACAGGCAATGTATAAAGAACAATGTGATGATCGTGAGCCGGAAATAATCGGCAGCAGTGAATCTTCCGAAGAGATTTCTGTAGGATGGCTATTCGATTAAATTCACATGGCCGAATCACATATCAAATTCTCCAACATACACAATCCAGTATGTCAAGTTATCGATTAAATGATGCAAGTAATTTTTGCGTTACCGCATTTGTAACAATATAGATACATTTGTTTATTATTTAGCGCGATTTATAAAAATATCACAACATTTCGAAGTTCACAAGTAAAAAAGTATCAGTCTGTCCAAAAATAAAATATTTTATCTCACACGACGACATCAGCTCATCAGACGACAATAGCGTTGAGAATTTGATAAAAATATTTCTCTCGTTTCATCTTAAGATAACGTCAACTTGCACAATTGTTCTAATTGTAATATGTCAGTTGTTTCAATTCAGTTACAGCATCCTTGGCGGCCTGGAATAATATTTATAAATATATTTACTTGTGTGTATATACGCGCGACTTTACATATATACATATTTCGTAAGTGCTAAGTACGACATCTGATATACATATATCAACACATTTAAAACACAGTTTTTACCTATCGTCAAGTTTACCTAGTCCTAAAGGAAGTTTTTAAAGAAAGAATAGAGCGATTTGTAATGTGTTATTAACAATGATATTTTCCTGCGTCAATTTTTAAACTGATAAAATGAAATACAGAAATTGTAAGAGTGTAATGAGTGTTTCGATCAACAGCGTGATCAAAGCTTGGTAAGTGGATACATTATGTGATTGTAATTCACAATCTTTCGGGATAAAATAAATGCTTTTAAAGTTTATAATGATTATGATAAAAAGTGAGAGAGAAAGAGAGACAGAGAGAGAAAGACAGAATTTCGTCAAAAATGTCGCTCAATGAAAGGAACTGCATGTCTAGCATCTCGTTAATGCAAGAAAAGTTATTTTCTTTCCAACAGAAGAAAATATGTTATTGAACTGACTCTTCATATCTCTATTATTTTATCACTACAAGCATTACATGTAAATTGAAAGTGTTTCTACTGATTAAATATGCAAGTGTATGTAAGGCAGTTATATGTATATATACATGATAAGTAATGAGAGTATAGTGATCATTATGCCAATGATTTACTTACGTTTCGTACAAGTTCGTCTTCGTCCTCGATTAAATTCTCAATATGACTTCTTAATGAGCTATTCCATATCTGCTGCAATGCTCTACAGCAAAATCTACCCAATAGTCTGATCATTGTACATGTCCTTGCTCGCAAATTAGTCCGCGGATGGCTAAGAAACTTACTGAATTGTTCCACTGAAGCTCCTTGAATAAGTTTTCACATATGTAACTCGCGAAATCAGCATGTCGCATGAAATGATTCTTCAGTCGCTTACCTGGAGTTTTTGTACGTAGCACAACTGCTTCCACCAGTTCAGCATATTCAGGCTGAGACCTCAATATGTTATTTAAAATCGCAACGAGATCTGTGACGACTCTTGCCTTCCTCTTTTCTAAAGTAAGCAGTTGTTGCAGAAGTGGCATTCCGCTCACGATGTAAATGGCATCGCAAAATTGCATGAGAAATTGGTCCTTCTCGTGAACCAATCTGCAAAGAACCAACATCGAATATTCGAGAGCTTGGAGCTCATCCGCAGACAAAGAGGATGCCGGTCTCGTCTCCGTGCTGGGTTCATTTTCGGAACGTTTCGACATAAGCAGTTTTATCGCATAAACAAGATTCGGTACTACTCTCACGTCTAAGTAAACTTGCTTGATCTTCTCGAGATTCTCCTTACTGACTGACACGGTGAACGGCAACGACAATAAACAAGCCACATACTCGACGACTCGAGAACTGGCTACCGGATTTCTCAGAGGGGAAACGAATACAGAAACGCAGTTCTGTTGCAACATCGAGTCCATCTCGCCTTCCATGATCTCCTCCATCGAACTTTGCAGAAACGCGACCCACTCCTCGTTCTCAATTGGTCTTTCCACTGCTTTCGGATCCCAGTCTGGCAGTCTTACTTGTTTTTTGCTAGGATTGTTCTCACTGAACTCTTGTTCATAGTCTATACTCAAGCGGCTCTGCTTGCAATCGCCGTCCCCATGCATTTGGTCCACGTGTGAGGATTTTTCTGCATGTTGGCCCACGTTATGTCCATCGCCCTGAGCATTAGCGCGATGCACTTCTGCATCTGCTTGTCGACCCGAATGATTATCGATCGTTTGCTGTTGAACAGATTTAGTGTAACCCTCCGTTGAGAAATTCTGCTGCACGTTCGCACTATGTGGGCAGTCATTGTGGCATATAGCGTGATCAGCAGCTAGAAGGTCGCTTCTTAAAGATGCCCTGAGGCTGAGATTTCCCAACAGAACGTCCACGCTGGCACTGGAATCAGTGCCGCTTGGTTCACTACGACGTAACGCTTGACAATGATTCATCCCATACTGACAGTAAGAAATTGGATAACCTGGCTGCGATAAACACGTCCGTTGGCGATACTTTCCCTCTTGTTCCTGTATCTTTTGAACTGCTCTTTGCACAAATCTAAAAGATTGTGAAAAGTTCTGTTTAGAAAGACGTACATAAATTCGTTCATGTCACATGACATCGATTCTAGACGGCTAATTATTTACTTTGACTGATTCGCAGAACGCATCGCCAGGCTTCGTAATTGTTGTTCTTTCGCTCTTGCTTGGCTTGCAGATAATGGAGTAGTAAATGGAGTTGGTACAGCACCATCCACTATTATAATTCGGTCTTTAACAAATGGGTGTTCGAGGAGAGCAGGCCAGGTTAATCGCTCAGAGGGATCTTTTTGGAGCAACCCCTGTGTTCATTGAAATTCATGATGAATCGTGTGTATCAATTAATACTGGAGTAAATCTCTTTCCAAGTATTCTTACCTGCAAGAAGCTTTTGCAATTTGCTGAGATGAAATCTGGCCACGTGATTGCTTCAAATCTAATTAATATAACTAAATGTAATATTGAAGTCGTTTGAAATGGAGGGGAACCTACTATCAACTCATAAATTATACAACCCAAGGACCTAGAAGCAAAGTTAATGTACAGTTGTGCAAACAATATATATATATATATAAATTATGTGAAGTAAAGTTACATCTTTTACCACAGATCAGCATTGTGATCGTAAGGAGATTCCTCTATGAGCTCTGGTGCCATGTACAATGGTGTACCTTTAATCGATGTGAGTACATGAGTACCGGTGCTCATACTGCGTGCGAATCCAAAGTCGCACAACTTGGCCACGCCATTTGCCTCCAAAAGAACATTTTGTGGCTTGAGATCTCTTGTGATATTAATGATATTAATGTTATTCATATATATATATATATATATATATATATATATATATATATATATATATATTGTCAGTTTTCTTGTATGCATGAATGTGTGGACACAAACCTGTGCAATACTCGATTTGAGTGGAGATAATAGAGAGCGGAAACCAAGTCACAAGCTATTACTTGTGCTCTCTCCTCAGACAGCCTGCCTTCTTTGTCCAGTATCTCATAAAGTTCCTTATCTGCATACTCTGTTACAACCACGATCTAGATCAGACATTCTACAAAATATCTAGACACACATGCTTCATTTGTAACAACAATCAGAAATACCTCATTGTCCGTCTCAAAGGAGTCTATCATTTGCACAATATTTGGATGATGCAGGTGACGTTGAATCTCACATTCCTGGCGCAGACTCTTCAGCTCTTTAGACGACCTTCCACGCTGCAGGAGTCAAGTGTATTAATGCATCAGTCTCACGAGTGTGAAATGGGAGAGTTATTTATAAACCTGCTTTAAAATTCGCACACATACCTTCCGTATCACTTTAAAGGCCACGATTTCACCATCCAGTCGTTTCTTAGCTTTGTACACCTGTCCAAAGGACCCCTCTCCAATTTGTTTCAAGATTTCGTATTTTTTCATGTTGAAACTTGCCGAGTAAACGTCGAAATTATTGTATGTTAAAAAAGAGCGCTCCTTGTACAGGCACAGTATGCGCATGCGACAAAACAAAATTCACTCAACCGACTGCGCCGAAATATGCGCTGAATATAGATAGAAAATGCTCGAAAATCAACAAAGCTACGAAAACAAGGACTCCATGCTTCTCACTTTATAATACCAACGTTGGCGAAGCATCAGTAAAGGCTCTAGCAAATCTCGCGCAGCTAAAAAAGTATCGTGCGCTAACGCCCTCTCACCATATGCTAGAACTAGAATTTATAGTAAAGGGCAAGTTTTTTTAATTCATCGACGGATCCATCGCGCATGATGCGTAAATATAGCGCTGCATTTGCGCATTATGCGATAGATCTATCGATGAATTAAAAAACTCGACCAAAATAAAATTAAACTTACTTAGAAAATAGGGCGTTTTATTTTGATTACATAGAAAAGATCACATATTTTCGTGCTTTTTACAATTATCCGTACAGTTATTTTTCGTAATAACCCAAGTCGTAATATTTGTTATAGTGTTAATAGAATTGACCAAAATAAAATATGAAATTATACATGCTGGATTTATTTTCGAATTATAACTATTAGTAAATTATTCACAATAACACATGTGTTAGATGTTGAATGAATTCTAGTTACTATTTTATTTTTGCGTTCAATTTACGGGTTTGTGTATAAAGAAAGGATGTGTTCATTCTTGTGTACAATTAATATCTTTTATTCTTTTCTTTTATTCTTCTCTCGTCTTCTATAATCCTCATGTTTCCTATGATGTTTTTCAGATGATCTCTCACGATCTCTAGATTTATGTTTTCTTTTACTGCCTTCTTTATCTCTGTGCTTGTCTTTGCTTCGATGTTTATCTTTCTTATGTGACTTTCTCTCTCTCGAATGGGACGAATCTTTATGTTCATTATACTTATGCTTCCTATGCGTTTCTCTGTACTCATCTGCGTATTTTTCCTCTCTGTCTTGTTCCCTCGATCGACGATAACTCTTCTTCTCCGAATGCTTTCTCTTTGAATCATTTCTCTGGTCATAGCGGTGACCATTTCTCTCGCTAGAATTAGGATCAGTACAGCTTTGCGAAGAATTATGAAATACCTTATATAAATAATCTGTTCTATCTTGTGTCGTTTTATAATTCGAATCATCCACTTTAGTACTCTGGATGTCCGTTGTATCTGCAGGATTAGCTTGTTCAGAAAGATATTCTGTGTACATCTCCATTTGCTGATTTATCACCTCTCTGAGTATTTCGACGTGAGACTTTTTGTTTGTATGAACACCTTTGTGTTTAGCTCTACGTCTTTTTAAGTTACGCTCTTGTACTAACACCTCTAAGAAAGATAATTGCTTATCTTCTTTTTCTTGTGATTTTCTAGAAACACGAAAGCGAAAATATTTTTACACGTTATATAAAATAAATAAATAAATAAATATATATATACACAGGGTATATATTTTATATACAGGATGTCCCATCTAACTTGAGTATCTTAAATATCTCGCTTATTTTTTATGATAGAAGAATGCTAAAAGGGGATATTATTCAGTTCGAGGAGACACGTGAAGTGTCATAGTATTGTAGATCGTTGAATTCGTCTTGATCTTGGCTATCATATCGTGATGATAAAAATATGTAAACAATGGATCTCATCTAAAAAAATATGTAGTCTCATATAAAATAAAATGGCAATAATCCTGAAATCCTAAAAAATGTGATCTTGAGAAAAATTCCTTGTTTTTTACAATATTTGTCTCCTCAAACTGAATAATGTCCCCCTCCTATGGATGTTGGCATCTTTCTATCATAAAAAATAAGCAAGATATTTAAAATGTTCAAGTTAGATGGAACATCCTGTACATAGATATTGAGTACATATTTCTTATTAATTACTAATATTAGCTTATCAAGCTTACATGTTGTTAATGTCTGCAATGTCTTGTCCAATATCTGGCTTTGTTGTATTAGCAATGGCATAGTCATAAAGTATTCTCCTCTCATCTCTGGTGTAATCTGTCAGAAGCCTATCAGACGTATGCGGCATTAACCGCTCACCCGTACCTATTATCATTGTTAAGAATTTACAATTGTGAAAATTGTAATAATATAGTGATGATATAATCAAGGCATAGTAGCAATCTGAGGTTTTTGTTGATTGTATGACTAAGTAGGAAAATGACAGTTTAAATTGCAAATATTAAATAACAGGTACAAGTAATGTTTTGTAATATCCTTTTCATGTAATTAAATACTGAACAAAGGATATGTAAAAGGATATATTGATTCCCCATCAAAGTATAACACTCATAACTTGCTGAAAAAATCAAATCATTTAAGATGCATCAGGATGCATATGACAGATTTCTATACTTTTACTAACCGATTTCTATTGTAGGATCTTGTTCTTTGGCCTTCCTTAGAACTTCATCTTGCAATTGTCCATCTATATTAATACATTTCATACAAGTTTCATTATATTCTGAAGAAACCTGGCATATAATTATTTACCCCAAAAGTTGCTTACCAAACTGTATGGAAAACGGTGAATCCACTGGCAATGTTTGTATAGATAATGGTAAGTCTGACTCTCCATAACCTGCGGTTTTCCACTGACAGGATATAAGATGGTCATTGAGGGATTTTTTTATTAACCGGTGCGATGAATTATATGGACATGTAAAATACTCCTTGTTCTATAAAAATAAAATGATTAAACAATGTTATCACTTTAAATGTGCATCTTAGAATTATATTTACCACATTTGTCACGCTCTCTACTGTCCAACCTAATGTATCAACGATATCGACAATTTGTTTATTAACTGCATCGGTGAAATTTTGCAACTCTTTCAGATGTTGTTCACGAGAATCAGTCTTATCCATTTTTAACCTGAACAATCATTTCATACTATTTCATACATTTGCATCCAAACACACTTAATCTGTTCAATGCGGTAGCTGTAGACATGCAAATTCGCAGATCCCATTTTTACAACTGCACCAAGTTACACTGACTGCACTTAAAGGATGTTTTCTATTGGGTGCTTTCCATTTAATAACCTTCCTTCCTTCCTTCAATATTTGGCTACAGGCCTCTCTAAGAGTAATGCCCCAACGCCAGTTTCCAATTAATGATATAATTCGAGAGCAAAGTCTTGGAAATTTTCAAGACACGATCCAAAAAAATCACAAGGTCCGAACTTGTTCGAACACGTCTTGTCGTGACGGCGGTTAGGCCGGGACTCTCCATTTAATAACACAAGTCGACACAAGCATCATTGGCTGCGTTCAGCAGAGAAAACTGCTCCGCTTCCGCTATATAGTGAACATCTACTATTGGAGTATTCTTTTATATATATCAAAGATCTGAAAGAATACTCCAATCGTAGATCGCTACGTAGGGGTAGCGGAGCAATTTTCTCTGCTAAAGTTCAATATATGGCTGAGACACCTATCTATCGAGCCACTACACCATTGCTCCGAATAGTGATTTCTGTCGTAGGTGGCGCTTGGCGATAATTTCAGAGTATGTATTTAATCTTGTTTAGAAATATTGTGAATATCTTTATGTCGTTTTTCTCAAACGCCTTTTGGGATAAGTCATCCCAGGGAGTTACATTTTTCATAAATAATTGAGTGGTTAGTTTATCACTTTCGTCATGATATAAATTGCATGAGAATAAAATGTGATGTAAGTTTCTGTTTTCCGCTCCGCAAGGACAGAATTCTTCAGAGATTATGTTTTTGTCTAACAAGTGAGTACTCGTTCTGATGTGAAACGATTTCATACGTGCAATTAAGGAGATAACATCTTAATTAAGGAAACAACTTTCAACAAACTTGTATTCCTCAAACCAGGGTCTGTTTAAGAGATTATTGATGCGGTATCTTTGACCTTTAAACGAAAATTGTTCTTCAAGATAATTCTGTACTTTTTTCCTGAAGTCCAGAGAAAGATTAGAGATGATGTCTCCACAAAAGGTGTTATTGGGGATTTTCCGCAGCTGTCTTGGCTAATTTATCCGCTTCTTCGTTTCCTTCAATCCCACAGTGACCGGGGACCTATATCAAAGAGATATGTACTCCAGACAATTTAGCACGTTTAATACTGTTCAGCAGCTTAAAAATCAAGAAATTTGTCTTTCTATTTGTTGAGATGTGCTGTATGCTCGTAAGGACGCTTTTTGAATCAGTGCAGATGCCGATTTTTTTAAGTCCTGTGTTGACTATCAGTTCAATTGCGTGAATTATGGCCGAGACTTCGACATGTAAGATAACCCTTGTTCTTACCTATGGTGCAGAAATTTTTATGTTTAGATCTTGTGAGTAGATGCCGTATCCAGCATTTCCCTCGTTCAAGATGGAACCATCCGTATAAATGACTCCTTGTAAATTTTTTTGGTCCAGAATAGCTTTTGTTCTGCGATTCATGCCGTTTGTTGATATTTTTTTTTAATCCAGCATAGTGAAAATTTCCCACCTTTTTCTTGTATTTACTCAGATCTTTAAACGCTGCAACGTCTATGCCCATACAACACAAAAACATTGCAGAAACGTTGCAGAAATATTTCATTGCAAGATTGCAACATTGCAAATACATTGCGAAATATGACTGTAACATTACTATGATGTTGCAGCAACGGTAAAATGTCCGGCCTTAGAAAGATTACATTGTAATATCATAGCAATATTGGAATGCAATATATACATATAATCCATATATAGACAGAAATATCATACTAAGAAATACTGAAAAATTATTAATGATTAAGTATTACCAGTAATTCAATAATTTTTAGCCAGTACTTAATTTCTGATGAATATTAATAATAAAATCTCTATTAAATATTGATAGTAATCAAATACTGAGAATTATTGTGTGAAGATGAAAAATGAGAAAATCATAATATTTAAAAAAATATATTTATAATTCCTTATTTTCTCTCATGTCTCATAAACTACTAGGTATCGAAGATTGTCAATAAATACTTTAAACTTTCGTGAATCCTCCCTTCAATAATTTCGACTCCAAGCGGCATATCATCATCGGTCACCCATCCATGTTTGGACTCCGTTAAAGTATTGTTTAACCTGAGGATAGAGCGATATGCGACGATTCTCAATGACTCCAACGATATTTTTACGACTTATACTTATATAATGTATTCTTATTGTGTTCACAATATATTATAACATACCTAGCAAACACCAAATAATAGTTATATAACTTTTACTTGGTGTTTGTTGGATAATTTGCTCATAGATATTGAAACAATGCAACAACATTCGATATGCGATGAATATTGATGTAATATAGTGAACTAGTAATAATTACTTTTACATTTTTAATAGAATGTTATAATGATTAATCCAAACAAAAAAAATAAAAAATTCAAGAAAATCCAAATAAAATCAATCGAATTACTAAATTTTGAAATAAACTTTTAGAGAATACTATTTAAAACAATAATGCTGTTTTATCAAATGACATGGTTTCCTTCAACGAAATAAAAGTTTTTATTCTCATCATTTTAAAAATGATATTTCATTTAAGAATATAATATTTTAATGAAACAAAAAAAGACACAAAATTAAACGTACGAATTAAAGGTACGAATATTAAATCTAA